TAGTGTGTGTGTGTGGTGTGTGTGTGTGTGTGTGTGTGCGTGTGTGTATATGCATGGGCGTTGGAATAATGCGCTGTCAAATTGATGAGTAAATGACAGCCCTCGCTGATCAGGACTCGAACGGGGGCCAGTGCAGGTATGAACCCGCAGGATATATATATATATATATATATATATATATAATATATATATATATATATATATATATATATATATATATATATACATGCATATATGTATGAAAGAAAGAATGAGAGAGAGATGGTTACTTATATGAAGTTGTTTATTTTTATACTGTGATGTTTGTGCACACCGACCAACTATAATTAATTTCCTGGTAGCTTACCATGCCTGTTGATATCATTATACTCTAAGAAACGACACAGAGCCACTTAATTAAGAAGTGTAAATCTAACTAAAAGAGCAGAAAGTCCGTTCACTAAAATGAAAAAAAAAAATATATATATTGGTAACAAAAAACTACTTAAAATTCTATATTTTCAATTAGAATTAAACATGAATTAAAATGAAATAATGTATTTCTCTAAAAACGAAGAAAAAAGATGCCTCGATAGAATTCAAAAAAGTTAAAACAGGCCAATAAGTGATACAGATTTGCGCGCCATTTTCTAAGTAATGTTTCATAAGAGTGGGCCGGTCTCAGCTGCCAGAGGTACGGTGTTATGTAATGAGTGACTCGGCGGTTAAGCAAGTTTAATTTGTGTCTCATTTAGCTCGTCTAGATATTCAATTAGTAATTTAAATTGACTGGATGGGTCGTATGGCATGTCACGTATTGTGTGTTGGAGTTTTAGAGGCGGGAAAGTTTATATAACGAGGTCATAGGACTGGTTTCATAACGTGTGTTTTCCCCCTTGAAATAACTCTCTTTCATATACTCTTAAATTTCATCTTGTAAGGGGTGTATTCTAATATGCGATTCCACTGTTTGTAGATGTATATTCTGAAGAATAAACAAAGTTATTCCGATCAGAAAGAAAAAAAAAACTTAGTGGAGTGTTGTCACCTTTTACGTCAAATCTGGCACTTCACAAGCTAATCTTCCACGTCTTCATAACAAGACGCAAGTCAGCTGATATCAAAAGGCCGGTATTGAACACGATCTCGCACACAACGCTAAATAAACGAAAAAAACACAATAACCGGTCCACACAACAATTCACTGAACCTACCTGGTTTCTTAATTTCATAAAGTTAACTACGAAGTTTGTGTCTCTTTTCTCTTCACACACACTCGCGGAACACGACTGTAAGACGACTAGCGTATGGTCGTCACACGAGAATAATAAGGTTGAAACACGAAGCAAATGCCCTGTACTTTCTGAGGGGTCGTGACCTGACATGCAAGGCGACCCAACTGCTCCCGGCTCGACCAATCACAGCGCCGCATCGAGTCTCAAGGGGCCGCCGGGTTGTCAGATGCACGACGAAGTCCCTTTTTCGATCCCATGTCGGTCATTTCGCGTTGTATAAGCCGTTTTTTAAAGAGATCTTTAAAAATATATGTTGATTTGAAGGAAGAGAGGTAGTATGACCTTTTTTTCCATCCCGAAACATACCCGAAATGTCTTTTTAAGAATTACAGATCTCTGGTTTGTCGGAATATGAAGCACTCTGTCGTAAAGATTACTTAGGTCAGGTCAGGTCACCAATACAGACACTAAACATAGCCGCGTTGACCTGCCCCTCCCCCTTCCATCCTTTCTATTGTGCTGGCGGCGGCAGGGGGAAGGGGGGGGAAGGGAGGGGGGAGTCGGAGGCAGAGTGGGAGAGGGAGGGAGGGGGAGAAGGATGGAGGAGGAGGAGGAGGGGGGGGTAGGGGGGAGGGGGGGAGGGAGAGGAAGGTTGAAGGATATCAAATTCCAGAGACATTTCCGAGGCTCAGGATTAAGAGGACGTTTCGCTCGAGTAACGTGCTCGGCAGATGTTTCTTTGGCGTCTCGCTTTTGTAACACCCTCCCGCCTCTTCCTCCTCCTCCTTCCCCTCTTCCTCTTCCTCTTCTTCCTTTTTCCTCTTTCTTCTCCTCCCTCTTTTCCTCTTCCTTCTCCTCCTCCTCCTTCCCCTCTTCCTCTTTTTCTTCTTCCTTCCTTCCTCCTCAACTCTCTACGCACTCTGTCGCGCAGTCAACTAGGACAATCTTTTGACTCGCCATTCCTCCTCCTTATCTTCTCCTTTCTTCACCTCTTTGCGCTCTTTCCCTTCTCTTCCCTCTTCCACCCCTCCACCTCTTTTCCGCCTCTCTTTTTCCTAGCTACTCTTACTTCATCTCGCTCATATATTCTCTTCTCCACCACCTCCACCTCCACTTCATCTCACCCTCACTTCACCTCCACAGTCTCTTCACTTCTCACTCGCGGTCGCTATCTTACTTCACTACCTACTACACATACACCATCTCGTACACTTCTCCTTCACTTCACTTTCTTCACCCACTATCACCCTCACCTTCTCTTCTTCCACTCGCGCGTTCCTCACCCTCCTCTATCATCCTTCACTCTCCTCTCTCTTCTCACTCCCTCCTTCTCATCTCCTGTCGCTCTCTCACTCTCTCTCCTCTCTTCCTTCCTCCTCTCCCCTCTCTCTCCCGATGCGCATCACCTGCACACTCTTCTCCCTCCTCATTCCTCTCCTCTCTTTCTCTCCGTCCTCATACCCTCCTCGTGCCCACGCGCTTCCCCATTATCGCCCTCCTATCTTCTTCTCCCCTTCCCCCACTCCCCTTCCTGCACCCCATCCATCCCCTTTCGTCCCTCCTCTCTCTCCTATCTCCACCCCCCTCGTTCCTCCTACCCCGCCCCTCGCCCTCTTCCCTCACTTCGCTCCCCACTCTCCCCCTTCCCACTTGCGTCCACATTCATCGCTCCCCCTTCCCACCCTCTTTCCTCTCTCTACACCCTCCCGTCGCGCTCGTCATTTTTTTTCAGTGTGCTGCATTTGCGATGTCGTTCTGCTTCCTTAGTGCTCTGCTGTTGGTTCTCGTCTGTCTGTTGCGGTCCCTTGTCTGCGCTTCGCTCTCGCTCTATTTTTGTCTGTTTGTTTGACTGTCTGAGTGACTGACTGAACTTGAACTGGCTGGCTGCTGGCTGGCTGGCTTAGCTGGATGCTGGCTGGCTGAGATGACGTGAGTGAGTGAGTGAGTGACTGGCTGACTGGACATGACTCTGATGAGTGAGTGATGAGTGCGTGAGTGAGTGAGTGCGTATTGAGTTGAGTGGAGAGTGAGCTGAGGAGTCTCGAGTGAGTGAGTGAGTAGTGAGTGAGTCGAGTGAGTGAGTGAGTGAGTGAAGTGCAGTGAGTGAGTGACCTGGCTTGACTGACTGACTGACTGACTGTCTATCATATTAATGTTGCGTGTGTCTGTCTGTCATGTCAGATCGTCATGTCTGTCTAGTTCTGTTTGTTGTACGCATTAAAATCAAGATATGTTTTATTCTACTTTAAATATCTTTTGTTTCCGCGTGTGCGTGCCGTGCGTCTGCAGACGCGTGTTGCTGTCGTGCTGTGCTGTGTTGTGTTGTTGTGTGAATGTGTGTGTGTGTGCTGTGGTGTGTGTGTGTGTGGTGTGTGTTATTGTGTGTGTGTGTGTGTGTGTGTGTGTGAGTGTGTTGTGTGTGTGTTGTGTGTGTGTGTGTTTGTGTGTGTGTGTGTGTGTGCGTGCGTGCGTGCGTGCGTGCGTGCGTTCGCGTGCGGTGCTTGCGTGAAATAGGTGCGCTGCGTGCGTGCGGAGCGAGTCGCTGGGTGCTCATGAGTCTGTGCATTGTGACGTCTACCCTATATTGCGAGTATAATAATGTTAGTAAACACGTGTAGTTTCTTGTGTGCCATTATTACTCTGCGCGCTGTGCTGCAATTACCACGTGAGTTGACTATTCCTTTGACAGTTGTATCTAGTCGATCGAGTGTACAAGTGCTGACTATTGTCCAATGTATCACGTGTAGCTCGATTTCTCAGGAGTAACAAGACTAAGAACATCTGTCGTCGCGTTTCGCACCGAGATTGCGAGATGACCCGCGAGAAAGCAACTATGCTCGTTTTATTAATTTTGATTTTCCCATCGTATGATATCATTCGTTGTTGCTGTATTTATACTTATGATTGTATTGCTTACCGGGAGGTGTTAAACTTTTCCCTGACTGCGGCGGTGGAGCATAAGAATCGCATGACAGGACAATCCATGCAGCACACAATAGCAGAATAACAGTCGAACCATTAGGCAATACAATACATCTAATCTAGCAATCAGGATAAGGCAGTGCACATTGCGCTGAGTCAATGACTGGTATTGTGTGTTTATGCAAAGTATGATAACAAAATACAGACCACTTGCAGGTTAGCAATATACACATCTAGGGAGCTGAACTCGAAGAGCACGCATAGGAAAATAATAAATAAATTTCTTATTGAGTTTCAGTATATGCCACTTTTGAGAAGCGATAGAAGCTTGGGGAAGGGATTATGGAGTGGAGAAAAGGATTGGGGAAAGGTTGGGAATGGTGATGATATCAATAACAAAAATGAAATAGAAGATAGCGAGAGTTAAGATAATTGAGTGAATAAATACCAGTTATTATGAGAGGAGAGGGAGAAATAATGGGAGAGGGAAATGGATATTATAAGGGAGATGGAGGGTAAAAAGAAAAAGCGAGAAAGTGAGGGAAGAGGGATGAGGTGAAGAGTATGAAGGGGGTTAGACAAGATATGGATGAAGAGGGCGAGGAAATAATTAAGGTGAACGAGACTGGGAGTGAATAAAGGAGATGTAATGAATTGGAAATGATAACACAGGAGGGGAAGGTTTGGGGATGAGGATGACGGGGAAAATGGTAGGATAGAGACAGGGAAGGAACGAGAGAATATCGATTGCGCGTGTTGGCGGTGGAGAGAAGGAGAGAGCACGAGAATCACTTCTATTACGTTAGCAGAGAGTGACAACACGAGAATGAGACGGCGCGAGTCGCGTACTCATATATTTGAGAATTGAGAGGCTCGAACATAGATGAGGTAACGAGTAAAAGAAGGATATCGTGTAAGCACGGAGATCAGGATTGAGAGAGCGGTAGTGTGGATAAAGGGATAATAGGAGAGAAGTCACCAAGAGACGATGGCGGAGGCGGTACAGACATAGACAATAGAAGAAAATGTATGGAAAGAGAAGAGGATGAGAGAGGGAGAAGAGGAGTAATCTTGGTGAAGTATAAAGCAAATAATCGGCGAGACGGGAAATATTCCGACACTAACACACTTCAGAGATATGAAGAGAGGAGAACAGAGAGGAGAGGAAGGGGGATAGGACACGATAATAGCGCACAGAAATGACAAAGAGAGGACAATAGAGAAAAGAAGGGACACGCGTCATTATAAGAAAGCATGATCAGATGACATCATTAAGAAGTGTAAACGAGTGGTATGTCATGAGAGCGAAGAGAGGACATAAATAAACAGTATAATTAACAGCATCACACAGTGCTGCTGTCCAGTTATACTAAGTATGCGTAGTGTGGATGTGTAACGACGAGCTATGCGTAAGAAGAGGGATGAGTATATACAGAGTGTACATAAGAGAAATTAGATGAAGCAAGGGAGAGAGGGAAAGGAAGAACAGGAAAGAGCAGAGAGCGAAGCTTGAGCGAGAGACCACGTAGGGGAGATTATTCAGAGAGAGGAAGTAAAAACACACAAAGGGATATGAGTGAACAGATGGGAATCAACATAACGACAGCGATCGACTCATCACATCTAAAGAAATGTATCATCCTCAAATAATAAATACACATAGACGACGCACAATCCATAAACAAACACCCCCCTCCTTCCACATAATAAACCATAACCCCCCTACACAACATAACTATACGCCCCCCAATCCCTCCACACACACAACCCACCTCCCTCACCACACACCAAACAACACATACACACAACACCCGCCTACACACACAAACGACCACCACCCTTACACACACACAACAACCCCCCTCCGCCCCCTACTACACACACAAAACCCCCCTTTTCACACACACACACCAAACCAACTCCCCCTACAACATACAGCAAACAAACCACACACAAACATAACCCCCACATCAATTTCACAAAGAAACACCACACAGACTCGCCCACAAAACAACACATAGACACAATCAAATGATACACCTCGCTACTCACAACAGGTAATCATCCGCATAATCATCTCTGATTCTCACACATCGACAACTATACACATCGCAATGAACATAACCTGGACCTGATCTGCAA